CCACTATGAGATAACCGCTACCCACTATGCTCATTATGTGGCTTCTAAAGTGTAACTTCCCATAACCGTTCTTCGCGTATACTAACTTCTCGACTTGGACGCTAACTGTCTTTGTATGATCATAAGCACCTACACAACTTCACCAAATCTCGAACATTGTTCAACTCGAAATAATTGTCTTCGATCTCGAATCATCTGTTATTGGCAAGAGTTGATCTCAATATTTTTCGAGAAGTTTTATGTATGCTTCAAACTTTTCGACTATATTTCTAGCATGAATACATAAAATTCCTAATACGTTCTAGATAGGTGTTCATCCTCCTCCATCTTTCGATTAGCTTCATAAGTACATCTTTTGATTTCTCTGATTTTCGAGTAGTCTCAACACATAGTTAACATTTTTATTAATTATAATATTTTGTTATAATTATTATTTGAAGAAAATTATATTTAAATTGTATTGATATTTTATTTCCATTTGATATATATATATACATATAATTTATTTATTTATTAATTACTAATTATGGATTTTCATAGCCCCGGAACGGGCCATTCCACTTTAGGAACGGGTCGTTCCAACGCAAGCATTGATGGGTAATATTTAAACCCAGAACGGGACGTTCCACATTGGGAACGGGCCGTTCCGGATGTCATTTTTAAGAATATGGTATTGACTCAGAACGGGGCGTTCTACATTGAAACGGGCCGTTCCAGAACGGGCCGTTCTGGGAAAGGCTTTTGTACCTGTTTTGTGTGCCCAGAACGGGTCGTTCCGAATTCGGAACGGGCCATTCTGGCCGCGGCCTGATGCCTATAAATAAAGCGTTTTGCACTCTCTAAAACTCATTTTCATTTTCTAATCTTTTTCCTCCTTTCTCTCTGAAGACGAAGGGGAACCTAGAGGGGGGCGACCAACAAGATTCGGCTCCTGCTTATCGAGGTAAGGGGGGGAGTGAGAAATCTTACTCTAGGTGTGGGAATATATGCTGGGTAGTGGGATTGGCCCCTAATCCCGTGTTTGCTGTATTTTTTTGTATGCTCATGTATGAGGGGTTTCTCCCTAATTGTATCTGTTTTGATTATTATTTTTCTTATATACAATTAATTGTATGCTTTAGAGTGCTCTGTGGGTTCCTATGGGAAACCCTATGAGAAATAGGCATATTTATAATATTTTCTGTTTTACCTTCTGATTGCTCTATTATATTCCTTGTTGAATGAAATGTGTAAATATGTGATCAATTTTGAGAATAAATATGTTTTGATATGATTTAGAGTGCTCTATGGGTTCATATGGGAAACCCTATGAGAAATAGGCAAAATATGAATATCTTCTGTTTTGATTTCTGATTGCTCTATTGTGTTCCTTGTTAAATGTAATGTGTAAGTATGTGATTAATTTTGAGAATAAATATGTTTTGATATGATTTAGAGTGCTCTATGGGTTCCTGTGGGAAACCCTATGAGAAATAGGTAAAATATGAATATTTTCTGTTTTGATTTCTGATTGTTCTGTTACATTCCTTGTTTGATGAGATGTAAAAATATGTATTTAATTTTATAAATAAATGAGTTTTAATATAAATTAAAGTGCTCTGTGGAGGCTTTGTGAATATGATGAGATAATGTGAAATGTGATTGAGACATGAGATATGAAATGTGATAATGAAATATGATGACGAAATGCGATGATGTGATATGACCATGGGAAATGATAATGTGATATGAGAATGCATAGAGTCTTGATTGACATGCATCATTTGCATAAGTGTTTTAAGGGTACGATATGGAATACACCGCCAGAGAAGGCCCCCTTGTGTAAAAGCTTTGGGGATCAGTCCTTGGGGATAGCTCGGTTTGGAAGTCCCAGTCTCGCCCATTGTGTGCATGGGATGTATCTTGCGCGGCTTAGCTATCCCGACGAGACTCTGGTAGTATATCCTTCTAGTGAGAGTGCGCAGAGGGTGTGACCCGGCATGTACTCCTAGACTACTCTTCATGTATTGCTAGCGGCAATATGCCATGTGATGTTTTACTGGCGCCACATGCATGATAATATGTAGTTCGTGTCCATACATGTGCATTTTCAATGTTATATAATAAATTGATATTTTTATGTCTTGGATGAGTGAGATGAAATATTGTTATTAACATATCTATGCTATATCTGTCTTGTTTGTGTTTGGCTATCCGGTGTGTATTTCTACACTGTGAGCCAGAGTGAAATGTTTCTCACTCCCTTTTCTTTTGTTGTTTTCCTTTGACTATTGTACAGGTGATTATCAGCATGAGGCTGGGAATGTAGGTGATGAAGCTTAGGCTTCAGAGTTTGGCTTTGCTCTGATAGGACATGTGACATCGGGGCGTAGATAGGATTAGTTTAAGATGTTCTTATTAAATTATTTTGGAAAATTCATTTTTTATTTCTTTGTAATTTTATTGGCATCTTATTTGGATTAAGTTTATGAATGTGAACTCTTTACCCTTACGTGATTGGAAATTTTATTTTTATTGATGAAAAATTCTATTTTTTTATAATTACTGGGGTAGAGGGTGTCACAATATCTAATTTTTTTTATATCAAGTTTATGAATATATTTACTCTTTGATCATACATACAAAATTTTATATGAATTCAAGATGATTCGATACTTCATTCTTGTAAAATAAAATTAATGTAATATATACATTTTAAAATATA